AATCTTACCTTCAACAGGTGAGAGAGCGAAAAGCAGCATAAAGGTGAGCTTTAAAGCTGAGAGAGACACACTGCACCTAAACTCTGCTACATCCATCTACAGTGAGTGTGAGACAGACGCTGACTGACAGCAGCTGATAAATACAAGTCTGTCTCTCTCCCTCCGCCCACTTCGCAACAATTTTAAAGCGCTTATTTTTTTGTCCCAGGCCCCCCTGAAAAACTCCAAGTCAAGTGACGGGAAATTCCTATTAATTACTGTCTGCTTGTTTACAGTAAACAGTAAAAAGTTAACAGCCCACAAAAATCAAAAGCAGCAGTTAGTTCCTCTTTATTTCGATTTTTAATTAACCTGCAGTTCAAGAGCACGGGCAAAGAAAATGACAAATATTTACAAATCCCAGCAAGAGTTGCACAACAGCTGAATGACAGAGAAGAAGCAGCTCACCTGTTCAGACAGGAGCTTAATTAGCTGATCGTCACCACCATTCTCTTCATGGAGACGAGAAAAAATTATAAAACAAGCTGTTTTCTTCAGTAACAAGAAGGAAGGAAGCGCTTCATGTGCGGCTCGGAGTCTGAAAGTGAAAGTAAAATAAGAAGAAGGAGCAGTGGCTTCCTGCTGACGTGCGTTTAGTTTCCATTTTGTCTACTCCCGCTTTTAAACACGTTTTTAAGTTTTAGTTATTCTAACTGTGTTTCCAGCGTAATAATCTTAATCCACACACATATTAATTTTCTTTACATCTTATCCAGTTCAGGGACCTGGTTCAGGGGAATTCAGAGAGAGGGTGGATGGAGTGAAGCTGATGACACAAGAGTGAAAGGTCTACACATCTACACCCACACTGTAGTGGGTAGGTGTAGATACTCACAGCCAAAGTCAAAGACACAGTTCAGCCTAAACGATTCCAACCAACAACCTTTTTTGGTGCGATGCAACACTCTTAACGACCACATTTAAAAGAACCGAATTCCTGTCAATGACTGCATCATGGGCGATTTTGCATGATGTCATATTTCTGCACATTTAAATGTCATTATATTTTTAGGTTAATTACCAGAAGTGCATGGTCAACTGCTGCCTGGATGTGAGGCTCCTTTCCAACATAAGCGAGAAGTAAAGATTAAAGTAATGTTGTAAAACACCGTGTGACATCCCAATACACAGAGCCAAATTGCTAATTAGCCAATATTAGCCCGAATACTTTATTAATCCCCCAGAAAATAAGGTGGTCACAGTTGCTCCAAGACTGAACTGTAACTAAGTAAACAAAATGAAATTATTAATACAATATTTTACAAAGTTACAGAAATATAATAAAAACATATCTACAAAATATAATAAATAAACCCCTCAAAAATACAGATAGCTCTAATTATAAATATCTCAGTGTGTCAGACAAAATTAAATATATATAGGCTACACTGAGGTGCCCGTCTTTTTATACTGATGGATGTGACCTAGAAATGATTTAGAAAACCTGACATTTCTTCAGACATGTATTATGTAGACGGTAAAAGCATTTGGTCATCAAACATTTCTTCACATTTATTTAGAGTGATCCTGAGTTCTCCAGGACTTCTGAGGATCCTTCAGAGTGTTTATTTGGACATTCGGCGTTTTTTCACTTATTTTCCGTCCAGTCCTTATACCATTTTCAGAGGATTGCTTTTTTTCAAGCCACTTTAACCCGTGAATTATTCAAGCATAAAAGAGACACGAATTGGTGTTGTAACACCAATAACAGACAACTTGGTAAAGAACCCATTTAAAGTGTGTCTTTGCTACCAGCAGTCTGTCACCAAAACACATCATTAGTCCCAGTTTCTTTACGTAGATCTAAAAAATGCCACAGACAACAGTTTGATAGAGATTAAATAACATTTTTACTCCAACAAGTTGATTCCCAAGAGCACGAGGGCTGCATAAAATAGAAAGTACTTCAATGTTCTGCTCACCCAAAAAGACCTCAGCCTGCCCAGCAGATGGAGCTGATTTTGGACCTACTTGTAGAGAGCATGAGTGTTGTGCGACCAGTCCAGTTTATTGTTAAGGCGAACACCCAGGAATATGTATGTGTCGACCGCCTCAATGTCCAAACTCTGACAGTTCCTCCAGATTGTTCCCCTCAGACACACATTCAATAATGGCTTTATCATCTGAGAACTACTCGCGGACTGTGGTCTGTTGGCAAGGTTGTTGAGGTGATGTCCAGTCATGTTCCTTACAGCTTCTCCCTCAGCAGAGCCTGTTGGATTGTGTCGAAGGGACTGGAGAAGACAAAAGTGAAGTGACTAGATGCAGGAATGACATATAGTGTTTGGTGACAGGGGGTGGGGGTGGGGAAGAAAGTGGGACCTGAATTAAAACATATGAAAAACAGATTACATTTATCCACCCACTCACTCATCCTGATTGAGGATGACTCGCCTAACCTCAAACCCTTACTATAACCCATTCACCACCATGGTCCAAAGAACCACACTCCTGTCAATGAGTGCATCATGGAAATTTCTTATGATGTCACATTACTGTATTCTTTAATGAAATATTTAACATATTTAATGTAAATACTGATTTTATTATGTGTAATAATGAGAAATGACACAGGGAAGAAGTATTGAACACATGAAGACAGAGGCATCTAAAAGGGCATGGAAAGTCATGACACCAGCTGAAATGTATCACTAATTAAAAAGTAATCCTGCCACTTAATATAAATTAATATCAGCTGCTTTCATCACTATAAAAATGTATCATTAGCAAGGTGCCACACAATAAACATCACATGATGGGTAAAACCAATGTGTTTGCAAAACATGCGAAACTTACTGATGGCATTAGTTATTGAAGAATTTCTAAATGGTAAATGTCCTGTATTTATATAGCGCCTTACTAGTCCCTAAGGACCCCAAAGCACTTTACATATCCAGTCATCCACCCATACATTCACACACTGGTGATGGCAAGCTACATTGTAGCCACAGACACCCTGGGTCGCACTGACAGAGGCGAGGCTGCCGGACACTGGCGCCACCGGGCCCTCTGACCACCACCAGTAGGCAACGGGTGAGGTGTCTTGCCCAAGGACACAACGACCGAGACTGTCCAAGCCGGGGCTCGAACCGGCAACCTTCCGATTACAAGACGAACTCCCAACTCTTGAGCCACGATCGCCCCATAGACTACTGAAGGCTCCAGTGAGCACTGTCGGGCCCATAATCTAGAAGTGGAAAGAACATCATTTTACCATACCGGGTGCTCCCCACAAGATTTCAGACAGTGGAGTGAAAATGATCAGAAGAGTTGTCCAAGAGCCAAAGACCACTTGTGGAGAGCTACAGAAAGACCTGGACTCAGCAGGTACAGTTGTTTCAAAGAAAACAAGTAATGCACTCAACCACCATTACTTGTTCTTAGTTAGCCAGCTGTATCTATATGTACAGTACTACATAAAATACAGGGTCATCAAAACCCATTTCTTCACATTTTGTATGGTGTTGAGCAAGAGTTTTCTGAAGTCTTTTACAGTTCTTTGAAAGAGCTGACAAACCTGAGAGATGCATCTGCCCCTTCAGCTCATCCAGCTGCTGTTCACCGAAGCCTCATCAGACATGGTCTCAGTGGAAGGGTGGCTGTCAAGAAGCCATTCTTAAGGAAGGGAGACAGGAACAAAAGGTTTAGGTTTGCTAAATTACACAAGAACTGCACTGAAACTCAGTGACACTGGTCCGATGGAGTGAATGCCATCTGTTTCTGTGTGTCATAATTAGCCTCATCAAAGAGAGGTGGAGTAAAGATTTTCAAAGATCTCATCGGCTTTCAGTAGTGGATTGAATTCCATCATGGGCATCATTAACAAAAAGAAAAGTTTACAACTGTTTGAATGAAAGTCGTTGCTCACAGTGTTTCAGTAACCTTACTGTAACATGATTTACAGTAAGGGTGCAGTAATTAGTGTTGCTAGTAAGTTGTTGACAGGATTTCCCCTTTTTTACTGTGAGACCAGATGAAAGATTGATGTGCTTCACACATGGTGATGCAGCCTGCCTCGTTTCTTTGTGGACAGCTAAAAGTTTAGAGTTCACAGCTTGGTTGAGACAAAGATTTGAGATTAATGCAGCTCACTTGTAATCTCCAGGTTCCTGGTTAGAGTCCCTGTTCAGATCTCTCTGAGATGACAGTTTTTGTACATGATCTCTGACAAGACCAAACTACTCATGAATAAACTCATATTTAAAATCACTCCTTTGTTCCAGCGCACAGCAGTCACTGCGGGAGTCAATATCGGCACATGTAGGGACAGGTTTCCCAAGCTGGAAAAATTTGCTTGTGGCAGTGGACATTTTGCCAACCATGTAACGTTAGTGCATACAATGTAAGAGCAGGTTTGAACAATGTGTTTGTGAGGCACGTCAGATCAATGAGAGGAATCTGAAGGAGGATCAATACGTCACACATGTAAAGGCAAAGTATTCTGGTATTGTTTGAGACTATGTGAGTGAATGTGTGTGACCCTGTGTTACATCTCTGACTATATAGTCTCGTCAACGCGCCCACAGGCATTTTGTTTTTCCAGCGGGTTGTGTTAGAAACTTTTGTTTAAAAAAAATTCGGGGCAGACTGTGGGCTGCTCACGTGTCTCGTTATTTTAATTGTAATTTTTTATTTTTTATTTCTTTTGGGGGGGGGCAGGGAGACAAGATTAGAAAACGGTTTTAAGTAAAAAAAAAATTAATATAAATAATAAAAAAAAATAAAAAATAATAATAAGGTGAGGTGACAGAGCATTGGGAGGTAAATCTTGTCCTTCAGTAAAAGCATCCTCCAATAACAGCTGAGATTTCACTTTTAGTGAAACAAATCTGTAACACGTTTTTTACTTCAGTACAGACATAAATGAATGTGTAAATCAGCCCCTGCTGTACTGCTGTTGGATGAAGCACTGTTGTCACGCTGAGCTAATCTAACAAACAGCTCAGGTCGGCATGTTTTCATGTGGATGACCTCTGTGAATTGAACAACATTGCTGACCTGTGATGATAACACAACAACACAAGGCTGAACTGCAGCACAGATGTTAGTCACTGAATAAATGATGCAAACACACTGAAATCATTTGCAAATGAACTTTATCTGAGAAGCAATTGTCTGGAAACATTTTGCCTCAAATTTAAGTTTAATTAGTTGGAAAGTCCAAAATAACAAAAGGTTCAAAATATAAAAATCAGTGTTTCAAAGAGAAGACCTGCTTTTCTTTAAGAGACATTTTTAAATAGAATAAGGCCTAAAACAACAGAACTATGTATTAGATATTCCTTCTGTAAGAAGGAAGAAGAAAGTTGAGCTTGATAAAAACAATCAGTATGTCAGAGTGACAGTTAGGAACTTTAACAAAACAAACACATGGAAAGCACCTTTAGCTCCAAGCTGTCCCGAAAGACAAAATAAATACCTACAACCACATCACAGCAAACATGTTTACATGAGTTGTAGTCCGCTCTCTAAAGGGCAGAATAAAGTAAGATTTCACCCATAATACAAAACAAAGTGCAAATATTCACTCATATCTCCTCAAAATACAAGATGACTCTAAGAGGCTCTTAAACAGGTTTCATTTTCTTAGTATCTAAACTAGCATTTCATGTTCCCACAAGCTACAAAAAAAGTTCAAACTAACGCAGGTATAAATGCAACAACAGTTAAAGCACTTCAGATCTAGTTCTCGTGAAAGGACATCCAATTAGACTTAAGTGTTTCTTTGTAAATAACCTCACATGCAAGAGAATTTATATGTGAGGTTATTAAGATTTGATCAAAGTCTCACAAAACAATTTCAGTCTTAGTGCTGCAGTACAACCTGTGGTTAAACCCTTTGGAAGTCAACAGACCAGTCATACAATCTCAGGCACCATCACAGGGATTAAAGGTAGAATTCAGGTCCAAACAAACTGCAGGACGTCATGAAATTCACCTGCTGCAGGCCCACTGTGCCCACAGGAGGCTGGAAAAGTTCTTCGGCTCCTCAAACAAATAAGAAACATCTCAAAGTAAGTAAGAAGTTGGCACTTTCTCCTCTCTTAATGTTTCCAATGTGCCCATGAGCAAGGCATCAAAATTTTAGGTCCTCACGCTTTTGAAGTTTGATCCCAGAAGTCGAATTTGGCAAAAAGGATGGTTGTTGTTGACTCCAAGAAAATTACAGGACATAGTGAAATCCTCCTGCTGCAGAGCTGCTGTGTCCACATGAGGCTGGAAAAATCAATGCTTTTAATTAACGTTCAAGTAAAGTGGGTGATGCTTGCGCCTCTGTTAATGTTTCCAATGCGTCCACCTACAAAGCTGCACTCGCAAGCTGGAGTAACAAAGAACAGACACACAAACAGTTTTCCTTAATTTCCATCCTTCAGCCATGAGGTAAATGCATAAATATTTAAGATTTAAGGCTTACTCATACTTCTGTTTTTCAATGCTTCAACTCAGTGAACCGGTGTCCTGCGACTGCGACACAGAACAGAATAAAAACACAGAAAACCACAAGTGGGATCAGTCGGCTCCGACGGGACAAACCACCTGCCAAACAGAGATGAGATCTACTGTAGGACACAACATGACATGTCACATTTATTAAACTATCAAGCACATAAGTTACACAAAGTTACATAACAGTGAAATGAAGTTAGAATTACTGAGATATCAGTCCTGACGGTCATTTTAATGCTACAAGTCCCAGAATTCTCAGGGCAGCAAACATGACTTTGTCAAAAACCACAAGAGAATAACTGATACATTTACTGCTTCACAGAAATAAATAAAGAGATCTGCAGAGCTGCTCCCAGGATATTACACTACACTTCCTGCATCTACTTCAAAGTAAAGCAGCGCACGTTAAACATTTTGAGGACTACACAGAGAGGCTGCCATCAGTGAGAGAAAACTGCATCATAAAGGTGATTTAAATCCATTTCAAGACTTTTTAATTGTCTTGATTTGTTCCTCATGTTCTCACCTTTACTGTGAAACTCGTCCTCAGGAGTTTGGAGAGTTTCAGGATGCAGTGGCGTCTCTGTTGTCATAGTTTCAGCTGAATATAAGATTGTAAGAACATTTAATTATTTACAATAAAATAATATCCAGAAGTCTTTAAGGAGCAACAGCAAAATAAGTTGTTGGTAAAATAACCCAAGCACACCGGTCTTTAAGGCAAGTTTGAAACAAAACAACAAAAATCTTTTCAGTCTGACTCACCAACAATCAGATGAACAATTGAAGACTGTGTTTGACTCTTTAACTTTGGGATGAAACATCTGTATCTTCCTTCATCTTCTTGTGTCACATTAGTGATTCTTAGTGAGATGTTTCCTTCTCTCAGGCCGTCTGTGAACAACGCCGTCCTCCCGACGTACGATGGGATCTTCATGTCAGGGACCTCGTGGGCGTCTCTGTAAAGATGAACATAATCCACTCGACTCAGACGGTCGTTGGGGTCAGGACGACGATCGGGCCTCGACCACTCCACCGTCAACCCCGCCACATTAAACTTTGGCTCCACGCGACACGGCAGGATGACATCATCACCTGGAGCGGCCAGGATAGGCTGAAGTGATCCGACCACATCAAACTCACCTGAGGAGGAGAAATAAAGACACACATCCTGCTTAAAAAGTCAAGTATTTTCAAATAATCATTCACTGGTGTTGTCCTTACAAAAAAAAAAATAAAAAAATTTGCTCTTCATAACCTTTTTATGAAATTAGAAGTGTTTAGAAGGTAGATATAGTATTTTATATATATATATATATATAAAATACTATATCTACCTTCTAAACACTTCTAATTTCATAAAAAGGTTATGAAGAGCAAATTTTATTTCATTTATAAAAAAAGTAGCCATGCCACAGCTTCAGACAAAAGTCACAGAGCTCACCGCACAGTGAGCTCAGTGTAGTCTTTTGACCTTCTCCCTGATAAAAAAAAAAGGCCTTAAACCCAACAAATACATGTCCTCAAATAAGTACAATAGTAGAGTGTCAGCAGAAATACTGTGTATTAATTGAGAATGGGAGGACAAATGAACCAAGCTAATGTATGCACTTAAAGCCTGGTGGGGCTTGGGATTACATTGTCTGTGGTCACCTCTTGGCTGAAAGAACCTATTTTTCCCACACACAAAACCCCTTATAAAGTCTTCGGTTGTAATGGCTTACCAAGCCATTACATGAGTTGACTGATTGTTTTGCTTTTCCATTATGTTCCATCACAAGTCATGTAGTATAATTTAGTTCACAGCTGCTGAAAACAGTCTAACAGCTTATGTAGAAACAAAAATACCACCAGGACATTTTAGGATTTTATTCATATTAAAGTATTTACTAGTTTGACTGTGTGTTGTCCTTAACACTGCCAACATCCACCACACAACACATTAAATTACCATTGAGTTTCATCATTGTTTTAAATTGCTTTGTTAAATTAAATGTTGTATATATATTACTGTGTCCATACATACAGGAACGCTTCACATTAGAATATAAATCTCGTTTAGTTAGATCATCAAACCCAACTACATGTGCGAGCCATCATATGTATAGCTTTATAGCTTACCTTCAAGAGACACGATGGGGGAAAGCAACAACAAGAACATGAATAGAGTAGAAACACTGACACTTGACTCTTCTGTGTCCATCTTCGACAGGACTATGTGACTGCAGAGCAGATGATGAATGACCGGTCTGTGGGCATGTTGGAACTAATCCCCTGACAAAGGTTGAGTCATGCTTTGGGCCATGAGTCAGCTGCCTGCCAACATTATGTCACGCGTCGACGTGTTTTCAGGTTAAACATAACCGTCCAGTGAGAATAAAGTAATTTTAATGTTACTTTTAAAGAGAGGTTTGGAGTGCTGTAATATTTTAGCCAATGCGTAGAAGACGTTATACATTCAGACAGGAGCGGTTTGAATCCAGGAAGCGCTCGTTCTCATTAATGATCAAACAGTATTGTAGATCAGAGCAGAAGCGGCTCACCTTTTCAGTCAGAAGCTTCATTAGCTGATCGCGACCATCGGGTTCTTTATCGAGAGGAGAAAACTTTATGAAAAACAGTAGTGATGGTCCGCCTGAAGCTGACGCACCGGTGCGTGTGTGTGCAACGGTGTGCAAGGGAGAGAGAAAGACGACGAGGAGGGAGTGGCTTATGTTTCCCTTCCAGGTTATGCTTCTATTTAAAAAATACATTATTATTATTATTATTATTATTATTATTATTATTATTATTATTATTATACTTTCATGTTTCCATACATACTCATGTCTTTTTTTCTCCATTTTCGTCTGCTTGTCCAATTCAGGTTTCGGGAGGGTGGAGTGGTGGAGCCTATAGCAGCTATCATAGTGCTCAGAGGTGGATTACACACATTTAAATGCCGTGTTTAACAATCACTGTCTAGTCCTCCTCCACCTGATCTCCTAACAGCGATGAGAATCACTTTTCTTCCAGTCCTCTGCTTCCTGACGTATGGACAGAGGTGAGGACTTTTAACATATGGTCATTATTTCTAAAGCTCCATTGTTGGGTCACTAACACCTGAAGCATGACACCAACAGTAATCGTGTATGTAATAACAGAGAGAAGGAACAGAAAGGTGAAACCTTAGAATAGGACAAACTGGCTTCTGAGAAGTCTGAGCTGGAACAAAATGCCAACATTCAAAGTCAATTACAAGAAGTGCTGTGTAAGGTGGGGCTCTGAAGTTGTGCGATTTGAGTTCCCAGGCACAAACTGCAGTGTGTGCAGGGACTCATCAGCTCATCGACAAAGGCTTTCCTGTGTCACGGTTTGGCTGATTCAGGCCTGTTGATGGACTGCCAAATATAAAGATAATGTCTCGACTTGTTGAGTTTACTACCACTGGGACCCAGTGTATCCAGATCCCAGATCCGAGTCATGCTGCAAACACGTTTTAGATAATCTGTTTTCAGTTTAAAGTTGCAATCAGTGACAAGCACCTGACTCTGGTTTGTGTGGTCTGGCATATTTAAAAACCACTTTGCCTTTTTTCTGTTGAAGGTCATCGGGAGATGGTTGTGGGCAGTTTTTAGGTTTCATGTTAAAAACTATTGTAACCCTGTTTCAGAAGGGTTCAAACTGAACAGATGAAGAAATGAAAGGTACAGTTTAATTTGCTTTTAGAAAATGTTATTTCTATAAATCAAAGAAATCAAACTTTTATCTGATTATGTACTCTACTTGTGTGTGTCTAAGTGTTCTTATTTCCCTTCCTACACATTGCAATGTCACAAAATTCAGAGCTCTGCCTTACGCGTCCAGTGTGGATGTTGGGTGCGATCACTTTATTTCTGCTCAGGCGCCTTAAAGCTATCATGTCTGGGCCTCCTCTACCTCATCTCCTGACAATAAGTCTGAGTCACCTCCCATAATCCTGAGTAACATCCATCCTGCCTCTGTCAGCCCTTTCCTTCCTAAAGTATGGACTAAAGTTGAAAATTGGAGTTAGTGAGTTCCTTTCACTACAAAATTTTATTTTGAAAGGGGTACGATTACTGTACATTTCACAAATCCTGTTAAACTGAATTTAAAAAGTGTGTGTGTGTGTGTGTGTGTGTGAAAGCTTACCTCCAATGCTTTCATCCCGCCTACCTGATAAGAAGGAATATGACGGAATATATAAATGCTGTATGATATTTATTCCCTTTTTATCGCTGTCACATGCAGCGTGGTATTTGTGCAGAACACTGGGAGTACAAAAGCTTTCTGATGCTGAGAACCACAGCTTTAATAAAGAATGGACTGTTAAGTGTTCATTGAGTGTGTCGCTGTATGTTTCTCTGTCCCTACGGTGCATCGACTTCCTGCTCATACCAGCCATCCCTGCAATAGATGGACTACTGTAGAATACAACAGGAAATTCCTTTGCAACATCTACAGCTTCTGCTGAACTACTCACTTATTTTTTTCTACAAGCCCATCCAAATATAGCAACCACAAACCAGCAATTAGAGGAAATGTAGGATAAATTTAGCACATACAGATTAGGCAAAGAGGATGTTTAACCTCACTGAACTTCTTCATTTGGCCAAAGACTAAGATAGCTGGTTTACTAACACACTCTTTATATTTACACATATTTTAAAATAGCATCAGCTAAAATGTAACTGCACATCCTCCATAGAGTGATGAACATTTACTTTATTTCAGCTCTCCTACTCCCCTCTTACAGAATAATATATTGTATATATTCGATTGTCATTTAGACATGATGATAGTATTTGGAGTCACAGAAGAGAAAACTCAGCAAAGCTGTTCCATGAGTCTTTAACTCAATCTGTGAGTTTACATCATCATCTGAATGGATGCCAAATTTGTATTTTTTTTTAATTCTAGTACTGTCTGTGTGTGTAAACTCCAGAAATTAAGGGATATCACATAAATATCTGGAAAAAAAGACATTGACGTTCTCCTTTAAGTGTTGTACAAATCACCTTCCCACAGTGTGTCAATTGATCTTCATGCAGGATTGAAGTTTTCTCCTAATAACATTGTGCTATTTGAATTCAGAGTTTAATAAATATTCCATAACTTCACTTCATTGTGATACACTTCTTGGTAAAGACAGTAAACATTTGAAATTTGTGGTATCGAAGATGAAACTGTGACATACATCCTCCACAAATAGGTTTACAAAGCCGCTCTGACACTGTGAGCTCACCAACTCTGTGCACCATTATTGAGCCAAATGTGTGAAAAGTCAATCATGTGTGGCCATCTGGTTTTGCAATTTTATAAATAGATGTAGCAACAAACTGATCAGCCTGTGATGTTTTACTTCAGAATACCAGAGGAAGCACGCCTCTGTATTTCATATGAATTCACAGGAGACTCATTTAAATGCTTTACAATAAATGATTTAAATAGCTGTACAAAAAAAGACCATTACAAGTTTGTTTACCACAGAAGCTTACTTTGTGATTACTATGTTACTATGATCATTTTTTATAGTTATGGTTTCAGTCTCATGGTATTAGTCTTCATTTTTCTCCTTAACTCAATAAGTTTTGGTTCATTTTTGATTCACTCGAGCTCATTTAGACATTTACCTACAAAATGCTGATTTAAGTTAGTGTGTAAACTCACTGCTGGATGGCAGTTGATTGTACTGAACTGACTTCTGTTTTATTACCCCTCCCAACTTAAGCGCAAAATTGTAGCTATGGGGTCCTCTGTAGGACACACATGTATTAATCAGCCAGAAGACATCAGAAACATTAAATTTAGACTGTTCCCATAATGGAATAATAAGGAATAATAATAATAATCATGGAATAATAAGAGGATGTTTTTAATACAATATTGTCAAATTTAAAAAAGAAAGGTGTTGAGACTTTATCGCAGTTAAATACATTATTTATTTCCAATACAGCCTTTTAATAACCCCACCGAGTCCATGTTTGGAGTAGAAGCCTGATTTGAAGCAGCAATGACTACAGCAAGACAGCTCCCCAGAAAACAGAACCAGCTTTAACCCCAGTCAGATATGCACACTGTTAGACCTCTGTGTTACCACCATGAACTGTAAATACAACGAGGCCATGGATTTGCCACAGGCTGCCCCGTGTTACCTATTGTAGCCAACCTTTACATGGAGAAAGTGGAAAGTAAAGGCTTTTTTAAAAGAACAGCACCAAGCTGCTGTTACAGGTATGTGGATGACACCTGGGTCACAATCAAAACCTAAGAAGTAGAAGCCTTTACTGTTCACATCAACTCAGTGGATAGAAATATAAAGTTCCCCGGGGAAGATACAAAGGATGACAGCTGCACATTGAGGAGAATAGAAATCTAAAGTTTACCAGAAGCCTCCACACACAGAGCAGTACCTCCTCTTTGACTCCCACCACCCTCTGGAACACAAACTTGGACACAAACTGCAGTGTGTGCAGGGAATCATCAGCTCATCGACAAAGGCTTTCCTGTGTCATGGTTTGGCTGATTCAGGCCTCTTGATGGACTGCCTAATCTAAGGATAATGTGTGGACTTGTTGAGTTTACTACCACTGGGACCCAGTGTATCCAGATCCCAGGGTATCAGAGTCATGCATCAAACATTTTATAGATACTCTGTTTTCAGTTTAAAGTTGCAGTCAGCAACAAGCACCTGACTCTGGTTTGTGTGGTCTGACATATTTAAAACCACTTTGCCTATTTTCTATTTAAGGTCTTTAGGAGGTGGTTGTGGGCAGTTTTTAGGTTTCACGTTAAAAACTGTTGTAACCCCATTTCTTTAGGCTCCAAACTGAACTGATAAAGTTTAATTCGTTTTAGAAAATATTATTTATATAAATCAAAGAAATAGTTCAATAGGAAGTGCCCATAGTTTAAGCACCTTGAAGCCACTCTACAAAAGGCCAGCCAGTTCGCAGAACTCACGAACGGAGCCACATCTGCGGAGTAAGATATCAGCATACTGCTGCCGTTTAGCCAATGAGCGGTGAGGCAACCCATTCTCTTCACCAATCAGAAGACACAATTCTACCTCATCATTACGCACACGTCGACGCAGAGAGTTCGGTCGGAGCTGCAGGTGGGAAGAGTCAGCAGAGTTTTACTCACCGTGTGGATTTTCATTCCTCTAATGCTGTTAGCGGTGTGCGTCCATGAGACTGTAAGTTTCTGTGTTTTATCGTGTTTGTTCTTTGCTGCGGCCATTATCCTCCCTTGTTTAATCCTTGGCGCACACTTTGTTTACCGATTGTTACTGCCGTTTACTGCGAAGCAGCCTCTGCCGTGCGGTCATTAAGGGACCGTCACTAATTTCTCATGTTAGCTCTAATGTAAAGTGCCTAGTTAGGATTTATGTAAATAGTAAAATTAGCATTTGTTGACACTCCCTTATTTTGGTTGAATGTTCCACTATCCAGTATTGTTTGTATTGTTGTATTA